ATATAAGACATCTAGTAGAAGTTAGTGAAATGTACACCAAGGGATTGGGTACAATGGTCTTGTTAGTTCACCATAAAATATAACAACTTTACCATCCATATAATGCATTAAACATCAACAAGGGATAAACAAAGGATTCACACAAAACCTAGTCACATTCTCGCATTAATTTCATAACAAGTTAAATTTTTGCATTAAAACTCGAACCCCTCTCCAATCTTTACTTTTAAATTTTCACAATCATAAACTTGTCATATAGCAATCCTTATGGATACTATCTTTATTTTTATTACTTAAACATTATTGGTACACTTTTCGAAAAGTAATCAGAGATCTATCGGTACAACTATCGCTTCTTGGAGGGGATTCTTCTTCATCAGCTTCCATGTTTTTCTCTCACATACTGATGAGACCCTTTTTTGTGGAGCTTATTCTAGCGGTTTCGCTTGTGTGTGATGTTCACCCCTACTGTTCTAACTTTCTTCAGCTTCAAGCTCTTGAAATAACATTTTATATAAATCTCCTAATTCCCTTGTATGATGCACACTTGCCAATATAAGAGGGGTACTTCATACATAGGGTGGATATTATGCCCCATAACTTGTTAAAGATGGGTCACCCTATAATTATATTATATAGACACATCAATGACTAAACATTTTACCTTAACCTGCTTAACATTTCCCTTCATCTCGAAAACAATCTTCAATGTTATGTGCTCTTTTACCTGCATCGGCTTGCCTGAGAATCCTACCAAAGATACTTGAAAGGATATAAGACGTCTAAATCTAGGAGGAGCCTGACAAACACATCCTAGTAGAGGATGTCTACAAAGTTCCCCTAGTTAATCAAGACTCTCTTGATTTACCACTTATCACATCAAACTGAAATCACCATGGGGTTATCGTTGCAATGGTGAATGTCGACTTTGTCTTCCTCGGAGAATGTTATTTTCCCTCTAGACCGATGGTGTTAGCTTTCTGGTGGCCTACGGGAGCACCATCGACGACCAAGATTTGGCGGACGTATCTTTTTCGGGCGAAATTGGTTTCTCCACCACCGACGAATCCCTTTTATGATGGTGCTAAGCGTGTGGCGAATGATCTTATCACCCTCCTTTCCGTTTGGCTCCTTTCCCTTACTAGCTCAGAGAATTTTGTAACCTTCAACACGTACAAGAACCATACCCTCTTGCTTCTCTACTAGGGTTACACTTAACATATATTTCACATGTCTTTATTAGATAAGACATTTTATCCCATTCTTGAGTTGTAAGGAGTTCTTTGTGTGATGTCTCTTGACTTTGTGAAACTTACACCAACTATTAGGCTCTGACCCTATGATTTATACCTTCGGTGTTGATGGTTAGGGATGTTATGTATGTGAAAGAATTCGTGCCATATCTGGTCTCAGCAAGTGTCCAGAGACGTGAAGCTTTCCACATCACTTAAGGAGGTTCTGTCTCTAATAGGAGATGTGTATTGGTTCCTCCATAAGTTATCAATGCCAAGGGTGCGTTCTTTTGCGTCACATGCCTTCTTTTCAGCAGCACTCTCCTCACCATTGATGTAACACCCCGCTCATGTAATTACTAGAAACAACGTCATTGTTGGTCTTTAGACGAGGGATTCGTTGAAATGTCTCACACTGATCCCGTTATGAAACGTTCCTATGAACATCTCATAATTGGGATGGGTCACTTTGATGGTTGGTTCATTGAAGTGGATGAGATATTACCTCAATGACTTTGATGGACCTTGGTGTATCTTGAACATACTAGTGGCAGTTAGCTTTCGGTGTTTTCTTGCGGCAAATTGAAGGATCAATTTCTTCACTGGGTCCTGGTAGCTAGTGATAGAGAGCATGGGAAAGCCCATATACCATCTCAGGGTCGCGCATATAAAGGTTTTGGGAAATAACTTTAATAGTTAGGTGCTTCAATGATGGACATTTGAGTATTCATAAAGGCCATATGTTTGTAGAGGTCGATGTGCCCATTGAACTTAGACAACGATAGTGGATTATGTGAAGACAAGCTTCTCAAGTAATTATTTTGATGAAGACAAACTACAAGAATGTGTTTATGTCAAAAAGCATGGATCAAGACTCATATCAAGAGCAAGTGCAATAAAGTCCAATTTTCAAGTGATAAAGTTCAAGTCTTGGAATGCTCTTAATGGATTAATCATGACAATATAAGGTACAAGTATAGAACCTCTCTATGTTAATGTCAAGTGCTCTAAATATTCATGCACAATCATACCATAATTCATTAAAGCTTTTATTGCATCAAACATTGGCCAAAATACATTTTTTCTAAGTATTTTTTTTTCTACCTACTCATGTAACTGACTACCTAATATCTTGTAACCGGTTACCACACCTGAACGTTACATTCTATGGTAGTATTCAAAGGATGTAACCGGTTACATGCACATATTTTGTCAAATTTTTTTAGACACCGCTATAGGTTTAACCGGTTACACTATATATGGTAACCGGTTACCACTGAAGCAATGATAGTGCTTCAGACAATTTTCAGTGGAAACAAATTTTTAAAATGTATTTTGAACCATGGCATCATTTCATGCATTTGTACTTATTTAGAGAGGTGTTAAGGTTCTATATATACCTTCACTTTCATATTTTCAAACACACCTCTTTCATCTATAATTCAAAATCATTTTTTCTCATCTTTCAAACTTCAAGTGTTCTCGAACATTATTTTTTGATGAAACTTCTGCACTTAATTTTCATCGCAAATTCATATAATTTCAACCACGTACATACTTGAGCACTTGTGTTACATAAAGAGAATTGTTTGCTTGAAGGATAAGATCAATCCAAGTGATTGATACATTGTATACTACTTCAAAAACTCTTGTAAGAATTCAGAATATTGTTGAATTTCTTGTTGTCAAGGATTGTTGGAAACAAGAGACTGATTAAGGGAGGATTGTTCTCTTATTTCACTTCATTTAATCATAAGGGGATTATCCTTATTAATTTGTTTTGGATCTTGTGTATAGTAGCTAGGATAGCTTGTACAAAGTCCAAACAAGATAGTAAAATCTCTTACATGTTGTAAAGGGACTAGACGTACTCTCGGACTGTGAGAGGAACTGGTATAATCTCTCTGTGTTCTTTATTTTTCCGTACTTTATCGATTTCAACACTTAGCAACCAAATGGAAAAATTATAACACATAAGTCTAAAATCGAAAATTTTCAAAGTATCTAATTCACCCCCTCTTACGTGCAAACTCTACTTACAAATTACAGTTCTCTGGGATGGGTGTGTTCCATATTTCATCCAACAGAGCATGAGGATCCACTGCTTCTAGCTCATCCACTATTTTCGTCCTCTCCTGGCACTGTTGTATATGATGAATGTTATCTTCCAAAGTTTGGTTTTGACGACGAAAGTCGTCCATAGCGAGAACATCTTCGCTATGACACTTTCCTCACCGCTTGAGTCTTCGCTGACCAGAGTAACTGCCTTCTTGTTCACCTTGATTGATATAGGATGAGAAAAAAAAATACTTCGATTGAATGCAGTGATGATGGTCAAGTCAATTTTACTGGAGTCCTATGATGGATGCTAATTGTACTGGATACAAGTATAATATACGCGACAACACCTACTAGATAATGGTTGTTAGAGGCTTTAAGGTTGTTAAGTATTGGAGCTAGGTTACGTGATGTGAGAAACTATTGTATATGCATATTTCATGGTGTTATTGGTTATTCTCTTTAGTGTCATAATACTGATGTATTTATAGCCCCCTGTGAGTCTTGAATCGAGTGAGATAAGTCTCTCTAGAATATAAGAACCTTCACAAAAATGGATTATTGATATACAAAAATTTAGAAGGTGCAATTAAGTCCCACGACTGATTGTTGATATAGTATAAGCTTCTCCCCATGATCGCATATAATGGGCAGCGAAACAAAAAGCTAGACGACGAATTCAGACAAGAGACAATTAAATCAGACAAATAATATTCAAACTAATACAAGAGCGACTCATAATAAATAAAAATAAAGTATACACCTCTCCCCGTATACTCCATTACAACATATTAAAAAGTTTTTTAATTGAATATCTCTAATGAGTATCTAAATAATCAATCTATTTTTTTTAATAAAAATATATTAAAGTTTCGTCATATATACTACTCTTTAATCATCGATATTTGTTAGTTGATTGATAGTCATGGCAGGAGAGGTGTTGTTCCTATCTTCTCTCGTCATTTGAACAAAAAATCAAAACTAATAATAATATAGTCATATGAATGTCTAGATTAGATAAAGATATTGTTTCTATCTTCCACATCACAGTGGTCGTTGTCAGTGACTCACTATCAATAATTCAATACTTCAATGCTAAAACTCAAAACCTAACAAAGGACCCTATTTCTATATTGATTACTCTTTTTGTACCTTTAGGTTATATATATATGTATTAAAATAATGTATTTTTCAATCTCATGGTCGAAATTCAATTAATTACTAAAGTAACATATTATAAATATTAAATACTAAGCTTACTTTATAAAAGTACAATGCATGTAAGCCAAACATTGTTGGCTTTTAGAATAAGATGATGAATTTTAATATTAATTTATTAAAGCACTTATGAATTTCTATGGGCACGCAAAACACTCTCCGGCTCACATTAGTATGGCCCATAGTAAAAACCGGATAAGAATGTCTTTTCTTCCATAATCAATTATACAAATATGGATAAACATACCGAATAATAAGGACAAGGTAACCATTTTCGTTGACCACTGTCCCCATCGTAGCCGTACACGTTTACTAAATCACACAGATCTAACGGTAAATAACTCAGGTCCACCGTAGACACTAGTTTGCAACGTCTTAGCAGATTTTAAGATCCTATTTTTCAGTTTATTATGAAAATTTGTGTTGGGAAAAATAACCTTGTCACCATTTTCAAGTTACAGAGAGGGAGAGAGAAGAGAGAGAAAGAGAGTAATGGCAACAATGCAAGAGTGTCCAAGGAGTCCAGAAGCGAAACTTGGGATGCGAGTTGAGGATCTATGGGATGTTCAAGAGGCACAGTTGAGTCCTACTGAGAAGCTTAACGCTTGTTTTGAAAGCATCCCTGTTTCTGCTTTTCCTTTACCATCTTTAAACCAAGGTAGTTTAATTCTATGTGCTTTTTATGGTTCTGTTTTTTGGGTTTGTTTGTTCTAAATGTGTGGATTTTTGTGTTTTGTGTTTGTTTAGAACTTGAAATAAAATCAGATGCTACTTTAGCTGAAGCTGTGGAAATACTGGCACATAATAATATTCTGAGTGCACCTGTGGTGGATGTTGATGCACCTGAAGATGCTAGTTGGATGGATAGATATATTGGGATTGTTGAGTTTGCTGGAATTGTTGTATGGATTTTGCATCAGGTTGGATACATATATGTTGCATGTCAATTCAATTACAATCAGTTTTGTTGTTTCTGTGTTGTATGAATTTGAAATTTTGATGTTTTTTTGTTGGTATATGGGTGATTTGATTGTTGCAGTTGCTAATATGTATGATAATGTTCTTGTGTTGTGATTGTGATTGTGACAGTCTGAACCTGCATCTCCTAAGAGTCCATCAACTCCGACCAGTGCGAGTGCTATTGCGGCCGCGGCTAACGGGAATACTTTTGCTCGTGAACTTGAAGCATTAGGCCTTGGATCTGCCGCGACAACATCCGGGGACTTTTTCGAGGATCTTACTTCTTCTGAACTTTATAAGAGCACCAAGGTTGTTTTGCTATGTTAAACTTTCTTTGAAGTGATTCTTCTTCGATGTACTAATTTGTTTTGTTTTTTGTTGTATTAATTGCTAAGTTTTTTGTTAACAGGTTCAGGATATTTCAGGGACGTTCCGATGGGCTCCGTTTCTTGCTTTGGAGAGATCAAACTCATTTCTAACTATGCTCTTGTTGCTTTCTAAGTACAAGATGAAGAGTGTTCCTGTTGTAGACTTAGGTGCTGGTAGAATTAATAACATTATCACACAAGCCGCCGTGATTCATATGGTTGCAGAATGCGCCGGACTTCAGTGGTTCGAAAATTGGGGAACCAAGAAACTCTCTGATGTTGGTCTTCCTCTTGTGTCACCAGAGCAAATCATCAAGGTGTATATCTTATAAGCTCAATGATTTCCTGCAGTCCTTAAATTTGTGTAAATATACGGCAAATGCTATGAATTGCTTGTTGATCTTGATGAACTTCACAATGGACTATTTCCTTCTTCAGGTTTATGAGGATGAACCGGTACTTCAAGCATTTAAAGTGATGAGGAAAGAGAGGATTGGAGGAGTGCCTGTCATCAAAAGAGGCGGCAATATGCCAGTTGGTAATATTAGCTTGAGAGATGTTCAATTCTTGCTAACAGCCCCAGAAATCTATCACGATTATAGGTATATATCACCACCAACGATTTAAACTGTGACAACAGTTACGTCACAAAGATATTGGTTACAAAGACATACAAACCTTGTCCTGCGTTTTAGAATGTAGGCGCGCCTTTTATTAAAACAATGTTCGCCAGATTTAATCTGATAAAATAGGCTTGTCTAGACCGCGTTAGTGATATCTTATTTCTTTCTTCGGCTTTTCTTTTCTATCTGTTTCATTACTTATAATACTCATTGGATGTTCACACTTTGACAGGGCTATTACAGTGAAGGATTTTATGACTGCTGTTAGCAGCTACTTAGAGAAGAATAAAACCCCATTGAGGTCATGTGAATTCCTTACATGCAAAAGGGACTGTACAGTCAATGAGTTGATTCAATTGCTTGACAGAGAGCAGGTTCATCGGGTCTACGTTGTGGACGACAACGGGGACCTTGAAGGACTAATCACACTAAGAGATATCATCTCAAGGCTAGTACATGAGCCCCGTGGCTATTTTGGCGATTTCTTTGACGGTGTTCTCCCACTACCGGCTAACAGCAGGGTTTAACCGACAATGAATCCAAGAAGAATAATTTGCTCTTGCAAAGATTTCTTTTTTTGTTTTTTTATTTATTTATAATAATTCTTAAGTGAAGAAGAAAAGTGAAAAATATGTATTTATCTTGAGGGTTGAAGATTGTGTAACTAGGTTTTTGTAATGTGTAGGCAATTTGCAAGTTACTTGAACCTGTTTTAACTATAACGTTAGAATGGGACTTTATCTACTGTAAATTCTGGTGTAACCACAAGTTTTGTCAAATTTTGAGTTGGTTTTTTAGTGTTTGTGTTCCCTTGTTATGATTTGAAATAATACACAGTGCAACAAAAGAGGACTCCATAATACAAAATGATGAAGTTTCAGCGTGAAGATTTGTAAGGTCTTCAAGAAACTATTAGCATTTCTGTTTTGGCCATTTTACAGACAGTGTATGTGCAAAAGATGGTTGGTCTAACCGTTATGGAGGGTAGGCGACGTTGACAAATTTTCGAACATGCATGCAACTTAAACTTCTGAGCTACAATATTCTATCATCTCACATCTTGAAGTTTATTTCAATGGATTCATCTCCATAATCTTCTATTTTTCTTCAAGAGTTTCTTTCATTGTGATTGTTCTTCAGCTATACTAAATTTGTCTTTTGCACATTGCATTATGTACTTTGCTTTTCATATTTTTATTTCCTTTCTTGGGTTTTATATTCTGATCTCTGCTTTATTTTTCTCCATGTTTACTCGTATGTATTATTTTATCTTTATTTTCACTTATGATTTCCGTTTCATTTTAAAATGTACTATTTTTCCCTTCTCTTTTTGAATTTCAGTGCTGCCTCTATTTTCATGCTTTCAATTTATGAGTCCATAAGTAATCAAAAGCTTTTGTTGGAATTTCTTAGATCGGTCTTTGCAAATTTCTATCAACAAGTATTTGGATTGCTCTCATTGTAAAAGATTCACAAATCAAGAATATCTTCTCTAAATGAAAATGCAACAATCCACAAACTCCATCTCTTCACTCATTCTTCTTAACCCCAGTCTCAATCAACCACCAATTGATCTACCTTCCATCAAATCTTAAGTCAAATGTGCAACCATCTTCATATATCACAAAATTTCAAGGGTTGACATCTACCCAAGTGCCAAAATAGCCTTTCCAATAAAATCCCAAGAAACAATCTCTCTCAATTATTTATTTATTTTTTAAATAATCTAATGGCTAAAATTTAATTTTTTTTAAAGATAAACAAGTAGGATGTCGTGGGTTCAAACCCGCACCCTCACATCTAACGTACTTACACAACTACTATCAGTGTTGATTTAACAAAATCCATTATAAGTTGTTATTCTAAGTGCAATTATATATGACAATTTTTTTTAATAAAAAAATATACTAACAAATAAACTGTTTACTAATAATGATATTGGCTAATAATATTAACTAACAATATCTATTATTATTATTACTATACTAATTGAGGCTCGAGTGAAATAAAAGAGTAAATCACTTCAATTGATAAAATATTAGGATGTAATTTAATTCATAAATTCATTTAAGTAACCAAATCCACTTACTAAGATAAATTTTGTTGTATGTGTATGTCTGATCCCTCATAATATCACGATGTCTGAGTGCAGGCAGGCATATGACAGTAAAAAGAGTATGCTTAATTGAGAGCTTAATTCAAGGGACCAAAATAACCGCAAACCTTCGTGAGTTTGTTTCTCTTGCAGATTTATTATATGGCAAACCTGTGCCACAGCAAGCAAATTAGCATATCCATATAGCTGGAGCTACTAATTACAATACAAAAGGCCCATAAATATTGCAGAAAACCAATTATAATACAAAAGGCCCATAAACATTGCAGAAGACCGCGCACAAATGTGGCATCTGACACTACAATGCAAGACTATTTGACAAAAAAAACAGTGAAAGATTAGAAAATCTATGGACAGATAACAGCTTTTCCGCAGTGACCCATAACAGAAAATATATAAACAGAGAACAACTTTTATGCAGTGGCCCATAACTTCGAACAACCAATACGACGACTAATTCAAATCTCGTTTCGCAGAGTTTCTGACAATGCTATGTTAAGTGTTGATCTATTTGATTGATTCTTCTCAGATAATCAAACATATAATTTTGACAATCATCTAAGCCTTTTTTCAAGAGCGAATTTTAATGTTTTGTTTAGATCCAGTTTTGGGTACTGTCTTATTTCCTCACCAATTATTATTAGCTAAACATTTGATACGTTCAAATAACATGGAATCTGTCAGGTCAGGTAAGAAAAACATAGTTCTTTCATATAGAAAACTGAAAATTATGCAAATTGAAGATATGTAATTACATGAGATCAGAATTTAATCAAGGCAACAGCTATAAGTACTGTATGATTGTATGAATATTATTTCTACAAGGACAGTGATTACCTATAACAGCATAAATAAGTTGAGCAAGACACTAGACTTGTGAATATATACAAGAAATATTTCAGTATTCGCAGGAGAAAAATCCAACTCTAACATTAAGACCTGTAAAATAAACAGCTATCCAGGTAGAAGATAGATAGTTTACACATGACACATAAAAACTTTTTCAACTAATCCTGATAAAATGAGTTCATCTGTCAAAACCATCTTATCTTATAATATACTATCCACTCTTTCTCTTTATGTGATGCAATACAGCAGGGGATCCTTCAAATAAATCTAATAAAAAAGTCTCTAGATCCTCTGGCGAATACTTAATGTATTTGCTTGAATGTCTTCCTTCCAGCTGACAGCTAAATCTCCCTACAAATGAGCGGTATGCAGGAATCACCCTCTCAGATATAGATATTCGCATCTCTTCACGAAGCTGCTCATCAGGCACCTTCCAACCTGTCTGAACCCTGTATATTTCTTCAAAACATGCATTGAAATTCTTGAACCTCTCCTTCAAAGCCATTTTTGATGCACTATTAGAGCTCCCTCCAATTCCTTCATCCTTCAAACAAGACAAGGCCTTGCTCCAAGAGACTCTGAGGTATCCTGTAGAGTATTGTCGTACCTTAACGCTGCGTTTACGAATCCATTTTTCCCTCAAGACATCTTTAAGATCCGAGTCTTTCACTTTGCGCACTAGGTAATAGAGATTGTTCATCAAAAACACTTGCTGCAATGCAATGTCTTCATAAAGTTTTGATTTTTCCTCAAGATTGTGTTCAAGTTCCGACATCAACAACAGTATTTGTCGGCCTAAAGGGGACAAATCCTCTAACTGTGAAACCTCGCCTCCCAAATCATTTTTAAAGTGATAAAGGGCCTCTTCGCTGATTTCCAAAAGCGAATCCATAGCATCACTATAATCAACAAGCAGTTTCAGGTAATTCATAACATAACGAGGCAAAGGATGAACATCCCCAGTTATAACTGGCTTTCTAGAAGTCTCGTGCCGAATACAATTCTCAAATTCAGCAAATGTCCCTTTTACCGCCTCACCAAGTCCTTTGAGCACACCCTTTGCCTCCATGATCACAAGCGCATCCAAAACCATTTCCTCCAAATCAGGCAAAGCATCTCTCAGAGCCTCATACATATCCAATATCCTAAACAACTTCTCAGGTGACCTCTTACAAATTGCAACGGCTTCACCGAAATTCAACAGCATCATTATACAGGCTTTAGCAGTTTCATTGAAACATGTATCCTTCAAATCATAGAATTCACCAAAAAGACTATCACAAAGCCTTTTTTCCCCACTCAACAAAACTCCAACAACAGCCTTCACCGCTTGCACCCAATGCTTCATTTTCTCATCCAAACTCTTCCACTCAACCTTCTGAACCTCTTCAATACTCATCTTCTCAACACCCAGAATAGTCAAACACTCAATCAAAGCATCACGACGAACACTACTATAAACCTGAAGACACTCCCTCTCATAACCGGACCTAACCATACGATCAATGATATCTTTAAGATTCAGAATTGATTCAGGACGCACTAAATCCACAAACAAATCGTCTCCTAGGCTAACACCACGCTCATGAAACCTATTCGAACCAGCATCACTTGCCTCACCAAAACTCCCAGAATTATCATCTATACCACCATCTTGGGAACTGAAAGAAAGCGAACTCCTCCGGTTAGTACTGCATCGGCTAACAGCGTTCGGCGGGATGGTATTACAAATCAGCACATGACGAAACTCATCCTCGAGCCTCGACATAGCAAGCTGGATCGCGGTCTCAGCACGATCCAAAATGATCCGATCAGTTTTCCCGGTAGAATGATCCGGCGAGATCGAGAAATGTTCGATCCACTGAATGATCTCATCAACAGCGAGAAAATACTCGACAGGATCATTAGGAGGATCAAAAAGCGAAGTAGACTGACGAGAAGACTCGGTGTAGAGAGAAGAATCATCGAGTATAATTTTCTCAGCGGCTTCAAAACGGTCAAGCTCTTCGTCTTCGGAGGATTTAGAATCGTCACCGTTGATTAGGTCAGTAATACCGGAGAGACGGTTATCGAAGGTGGAGAAAATCAATAGCATGTCTTCACGATCCTCTTTAGGAGCTTTTAGGCTTTTCAGGATCTGTTGAGCTGTAGCGAGGACACGGTCGTCTCCGCCAGCGCCTCCGCCTAGGCTGGTGGTGGTTGTGGCGGCCATGATCGGAATTGAATAATTAGGGTTTGTATTGGATTGGTAGGTTTTTGTAGTGTGGAAAATGGTGAAGTAAAAGGGTTTGGTACTGGTATTGGAATTGGATTATAGAAAGAAGTGATGAAGGTGTAAGGAAAAAAAGGAAAATAGAATGGAAGATACGTTGGTGGGTATTATTCTCGAATATTGTCAGATTTTAATTATATATTTGATTTGATTATTTAATTTTTTTTGTAGGCGATGATGGGTTAGGTGTTGTTTGGGAATGGATGAAGAAAAATTAGAGAGAGAGAGAGAGAGGGGCAGTTGTTTTGTGTTAGTTTGGCCGGCTCGTTGGAAAATGGATAGATACAAAAGTTGTGGTGGGGGGTTTGGGTTTTACTAACTTATTAAGCACCTTAACTTACAAATCACGCGCTAGAATAATTTCTAAGATTTTTTTGACGGGTTTCTGGTTTTTATTTTTTTTTACGGGTTTTCTGGTTTTTTTTTACGGGTTTTCTGGTTTTTATTTTTTTGACGGGATCAAACATTAGTTATTTTTTAGGGAAAAAAAAAATAATTATGTATTTTGTTACTTTATGATTTTTTTAAACGAATAATATTCGATAAGTAATTTAGAAAGATTTATACATACAATATATTTACATTAATTTAGAAAAATCGCATCATAGAAGATATAATGTAGTAATTGTATTTTTATTTAAAATGTAATAAATATATTATGATTATTTATTAATTAGGAAATGTCGTTTCATAAATTGAGAAATAATATTCTAATGTCTTGTTGTTATAAATATGTTAGAGTGAAATACTTTTGATTCATTATAAAAATGATCTTTTTTTTCTGTTAGGAATAAAAAATTTCAAGTTCTAAAATTTTAATAGAAAATACTTAATAAGATTTATATATGTAAGTAATTTTTTCCTAATTTACACTTATATACCTTTCTTTTTATTACTATTGATGTTTTCTGCCGATAAATGTTTTATTAGTCATTAATATTTCTTGTCCAATTCACATTTATATTCTTTTTACTGTTTAATTTAAAATATTAATAATAAATCATTAAAAATATATAAATTTAGGATTTAAAAATACTTTTATAATTTCTATAAACTATGAATTTAATATTATTTTTGCTAAATATTTAAAGGAACTCTTATGAATGATATGATATTTAGAGTCTATTTGATTGAGAATTTTTGAAGGGGGAGAATGTGAGGAAATATTTTAAATAAAGAGTGTTTCGTTTAATATTTTAGGAGATGAGAGAATTTTGGAGGGAAGGGGAGAGATGTTAAAATATAATTTATTCTATTTATGAAATAAACCTCAATTTTTCATAAATTTTTTATTTTATTAATCTCTAAGAAAATATTAAAAATTGAGGTTCTAAATCAAATTTCTCATCTTATTTTTTTATGGCTTAAGTTAACCTCATGTTATAATCATTGTTACTTCCCTTCTTTTTTTTCAAATCAACATTATTTTTAGTTTTATTTTTTTACATAAACTTTATCATTTTTATTATAAGGATTATATATATTTTTTCATTATTTTATTTTAATTTTTAGTTGTGGTTTTATTATTATTTTTTTTTAAATTTTGATGTCACTTTTTAACTATGTTAATGTTTTTCTTTAGATTTTATTGTATTTGACTATCTTTTAAAATTGTATATTATCACATTTTTACAAAATATTTTATGATGTTCTCTAATTGGATAATTATATTTCGTTAATGAATTTTTGTTTGAATTATGAAGGGTAAATATCATGATTCTTATGCTAAAAATACAAGGGAAAATTTAGTTTTAAAACATCTCTCATCCCTTTGTGATTCAAACATGTTTGTAATTAAAATATTTCTCTTCCCCTTATTTTTTGAACCAAACATATATGTAAATCAAATTCTTCCACTCCATTTTCTTCCATTCTCATTCCTTCCCTTTGATAAAAATCCCCCTTCCCTCTCCTCAATTAAATCAAACAGATCCTTAGTGTTTACAATTGTATACTTAAAATACACTAAGTAATGGTTCTACCAACACATGTCAACTAGAGTCGTAAATCCTTTTTTTTCTCTTTGATGACTGTAGGTATAAATAAAATCCAAATGATATGTGTCATTAAGACTAACTAATGGTCATTAAGACCAAATTTCTCATAAGAACATAATTTCAATTTCCATTGTCCCACACATTGTGTAAAAGATATGTCCTCCTAAAAACAAAATTATAATTTCCATTATCAATAACTTGAGTTTTTTCACCAAAATCAACCTAACACATTTTTGTTACAACCAAGCTTTTTATAGGGCTGGCTTGCAACCTCCAAAACAATTACATATGTACAAGAGAATTATGTTCTTAATTTTCAATTAAAGCATAACAACATAAAAAACACAACTCTCAATATAATACTTTCATTTTCTTAAAACTAAAACAATGTAAAATGAATAAAATCTTATTTCAGAAAAAAGAATGAGTGATATAATACAATAGAAGTCAGAAAATTTGTGTTTTAGTAGTGAGCACATGACTCTTTCATATAGGAAGAAATTTGGCTAAAAAGAGAAGATTTTTGAGTCAAATTCTCTCTCTAATCGAATAGACTGACGTTTTAATAAATTAGACAACCACCAGGATTATGTAGACCTAGCAAAAAAAGGAAAGATTTGCTAGATTTGTTCTATAATTGATTAATGAGAGATTTTTGTCCCGTAATTGATTAGATATGATCCACAATCAATTGTAGGTAGAATTCTTATTATATAATCTATTAATAAACATCATGAAATATAAAACACATGAACACAAGAGAAATCTTCAACTCCTTTGATGTTGCTCTTAACTATTGATTCTCTCGTGCCAACCATTGAAACTTCTTTCTTTTTAATTTACTTTAACATCTTTCTTCCTTGATGAGATTCATGATAGTTTTGTTGTATTTTCTTTGGCATCATCAAAATCTATTATTCATGTTAATCATATAGAGCCACAATGAAAATTCAAAATTTAATATGGTGAAGAATTGCAAGATTTATGTCATGTGAATGTCATCTCAGTCTGACCAGTGGAGTATGTTGATATGGTCTTTGGACTCAAAGAATTTGAGGAAGATTTCCAAAGTTTAGACCTCGAAGAAATTTATTGTGTGGTATCTTATGTTCCAAAATGAATTAATAAGTCTATATAGGATTCTACAATCTTTGATCGTCCAAATAATTAAATGAGAAGCCATCTGAAACCCATGTTCATTAAAGTTGAAGCTTATGACATGAAAGTAATTAAAGTGTTGATTGATGGCAGTGCAATAATAAACACGTTACCTAAATTAATTATACAAAGGCTTCGAAAGACTGAGAAGGACTTGGCTACCCACACATGGTTATTACTAACTTCAACGAAATAACATTGAATTTGAAAGGTGTTATTGTGTTATATGTGAAATTTTGGTTAATGATTCGTCCATCTAAGTTATACGTAGTTCCTTCAAAAGTCATTTACGATTTGTTGATATGAGGAAAATGGATTCATGGCATAGGTCACATCCCTTCCATCACTCACCATATATTATCCATATCGGACAAACTAGGAAATATGAAATATTTAGAAGTTAATTGATTACACCAACTATAAAATAAAAAATACAGGAATTCTGAATATTGACAAAATGATAGGAGAAATTGGTCAAGATTGATACTTTAAGGATGGGAGAAATGCTGCCTCATGGAATGAAAAATGTATCAAGATTACCCTAAAGACCCAAGTAGGTTTTAAAATGTATTTCATAGAGAAAGATGATGAACACAACCATAAATTGGCCACCAAGAAAGTTTTTAAATGGATACAATGGTTTTTTTTCTAGAATTATAGCTTATATAGTCAAAATAAAGTTAAGTGCGGTCTTTGAGGCTAAGGATGAACTAAAAATGGCCTTTGAGGCCAACAACAGACATGTAACAATATTTGAAGAGGAGCAAAAAGAAACAATGATATAGTTGTCTATAAAAAAGTTCTGACGATCAAGTTTCAAAATTGAAAGACAAAAATTTAACCAATTTAGCAAGAGAATGTGACATACCTAAATATACCTACATAAGTGTTATACTTAATAAAGATTTAAAATGAGAAATAATGGAGACACTTTGAAAATATAAATATTGTTTTCTTTGAGACTACAACGATTAAAATATTGTTAGGGAACAAATTCATTCAAACAGTAAGGTATTTCGAATATATATATTTGTGTGTGTGTGTGTGTGTGTGTGTGTGTGTGTGTGTGTGTGTGTGTGTGTGTGTGTGTGAGAGAGAGAGAGAGAGAGAGAGAGAGAGAGAGAGAGAGAGAGAGAGAGAGAGAGAGAGAGAGAGAGTTTGTCTAGATTTTAGAGACTTAAATGTTTTTTTATAAGCAATAAATTTATATATAAGACATATTATAAGTACACCAATCCATGTACAAGGATCACATCAAGACACCAACAAAATACAAGAAGATACACAAAGACACAAGAACTCCAAATCACAAAAACCAAGAGGATACTTGCACGAATTATAGAAGTTACACTTAGGTTTAATTTTAAATCTAAACTCCAACCAAGTCCAAGAAGTTTTTTTTCACTCTTATTGGAATATCTTCAAGATTACCAACCTTATCATTGAAAATGATCTGATTCCTAATCCACCATATTGACCAACATGTAACGATCCAAATAAAGCAAGCTGAAGATTTGGAAGTTTACTTCACTACTTTCAAGAACCAAGCAAACAAGTGGTCTCACATATTTCCCTTTTCTAACCAATTAATTCCTACCCAATCCGTAATCTTTCTCCACACCATGACAATATACTGACATATACATAAGATGTGATTAATATCCTCCACCGCATTGAATCAAAACACACAAACTAAATCATGAGGCTTGTAGATTGTTCCCCTGGCCACCAGGTTAGCTCGTGTAGGTATCCTATCCCAAACTACCCTCCAACCAAAGACACCAA